CACCGTGCTCCACCCGAAGGAGATCCACGGCTGCTAGAACTGCAGAAGGTGATTCCTGGACTGAAGCCAGGCTTGGGACGCACTGCACGGGAGCAAGCGCTGTACCAGGTGGCGGCTGTCTTTACCACCATCGGAGCCTCTACAGTTGGTGGTCTGCTCACTGGGCTGGTCATGAAGTTTCCCTCCTTGGCATCTCCATCTGATAAGAACTGCTTCAATGATGAGCTTTTCTTTGAGTTGCCATCCGACTTTTCCAGTGTAGAAGCCCGCTTAACCTCTGAGGAAAAAGGGCAAATGAATCCCATGGACACCAAAGTCTGAGCTCTTGTACCTTATATTTTTTAACTTGTACTGAACTGTTTCCATAAATCTCACTTAGCATTTTGCATACAAAAAAGCAATGGAAAAGTAACAGGCTGAAATATGAACTTTTTTGCAATATAATGTATTTAAAATAAACAGTTTAATAAAACATGGTTGTTATTTAAAAATGTGTGGAATCCAATTTCTTGCAAAAAGTATATGCTTAAATAAATCATTTTTCAAAATGAAATCTGCCGTTTTAATTTAAACGTTTAATATTTTTTTAAAATTTAGAATTAATGTGTGAAGACATATCAACAATAAGCCAGGGCATATTTGACACACATCGTCCCTTTAGAAATAGATATAAAATAATTTGTTAACTCACTGAAGTGTTACAAATACGACAGGAATAAAATAGAAGCCTAAACATGACATTTTCATAACACGACCATGATAGTGGAATCTGTATTAAAATCTGACATAGTTTTACGGTGTCTGATTTAACTCTAGATTGCCTCAAGGATTCAAAAGTCCTGTCTATATAACAATCTCACTGTGCTTTAAAATCACCAGACCAAAGTATGGCCCATGGTTCAATCAATGACAACAAGCAACAACGCAGTTTGTGTTGTCATGTCTGCATTACATGCTGTTTCCAGAATCCACCGAACAAATTAGCTTATATGAAAACATAATCTCCTTTAATGGAAATTCATCATCATCATTATCATCAAGGTAACATATGTCATTCAGCATTTTTAACATCACCATCTAGTGCTACTTCATCGTTTTACAAATATTTTCAAATTTCATGTGTTTCACATGTTTTGTGATATTTAAAAAATCATCTCTATCATCTCTTTGAAAAACTATTGTCTGGACAAGTGAAATAGCCTCTATAAAAGCATAAAGACTATATGAGTTTATGTTATCAGCTGGACTTTTGACATCTGGGACTTCTTAATATACATGCACGGTTTATATGCAAGTTTTGTCACGCCGTTCCGGAACTTTTTATCTGGGCATCACTAAGTTGGAAGTGACCAATGTGAGATAATATATCTGCTGCATATAAGGGATCATCTCATTCAAGTTAAGATAAAATAACTGAGGATATAAACAAGCACTTTAAACTTGGCTCTACGAGAAGAGAAGATCATAATATAAAGGTAAAGTGAGTTTCCATGTCCTGCTTTGATTACATGTATGAATGGGTATGCCACTGTTACAAAGGTTAAATATATCACCAATCTTTTATGAACTGATAGGTTTGACACAATTCTTTATCTAATCATTAACTGTTCTCAAAAGTTGCTATGTGCTCTGATTTTTATCAAGCACACAATGCTGGTGCTTGCTTTTATGTTGAGTGGATCACCTTCTTTATGGAAAATTCCTTCTCTTAAAACAATGTATCAGGTTCATATGTGATGCAGTAAATATTTTATATTTTCCCCTGGATTTCTCAAGAGCATTTTATCTTTGAAACCATTAATTCTTTGAGAGAGATTTCACCTCTAACAAATGCAATAGTGAGGCAGAGGAGTTAGTCATATGCTTTGCACCAAATTCAAGAATCTGTTCGCTGACATGTTCATAATTCTCCTTTTTTTTTCCAGCTGCTGGCTTTAGAGGTCACCACAGATGAATAAGGCATGGCGGGACCACAAATTGTAATTATGGGCCATTTATTTACATTGACTGCAGCTCCCAAGCTGTAAGCTCCACATCACACCACAACACACCTCTCAAACCTGGTTCCCCATGACTTAACACTGCGGGTCTGATCTGCAGATGCCGTGCAGGTCACACCCCCATGCCCGACTGAGGCTGGGGAGCCATCCAGGTGTCATCTGCATACCAGTGAAAAAGCTATGCCTTCTGATGATACTGTCTAAGGGAAGCGTGTATAATGTAAATAGAATTGGTACCAGCACTGAACCCGGTGGAACTCCATAATTAACGTTGGTGTGAGAAGAGGACTCTCCATTTCCATGAACAAATTGGAGTCCATAAGATAGATATGATTCAAACCACACCACTGCAGTACCTGTAAAACCTACAGCATGCTCTAATCACTATAATAGGATATGGTCAACAGTATCAAACGTTGCACTGACGTTTAACAGGACAAGGACTGTCAGAGGCCATTCATTCATTTGCAACCTTCACTAAAGCTGTTTCTGTGCTGTGATGAGCTCTGAAACCCGATTAAAACTCTTCGAATAAGCCATTTTTCTGCAGATGATCTGCTAGCTGTTTAACAACTGCTCTTTCAAGAGTTTCTGAGATGAAAGAAGGTTGGAGATTGGCCTGTAATTAGCTAAGACAGCTGGGTCAAGAGATGACTTTTTAAGTAATGGTTTAACTATTGCCAGCTTGAAGGCATGTGGTACATAGCAGATTATTAGAGATAGGTTGATCATATTTCAGAATGAAGCAGTAATTAATGGTAGGGCATCTTTTCTCTGCATGTTTGCTATATCATCCTTTGCCATATCTATTAATCTCTTTTCAGTCTTGCCTCTCCATCTTTGCCTCCAAGTCACTCAACCTTAGTTGTCCCTTTGATGTACTCACTGGCCATTCTGGTCAATCCCAACTGAAATCTTAAGACCTTCACCTCCAGCTCTGCTTCATGTCTTTTTGTCAGTGCTGCTGTGTCCAAAAAGTACATTATAGCAGGTCTCACTAGCATCTTGTAAACATTCCTTTTCACACTTGCTGCTATCCTCAAATCGTCCCCTTGTCACGAATCATCCCTGATACTTGTCCCCGCCTAGATTTGTTGATATTCTTGGGATCAACTGTCCATGATCTCACCTTTGACTCAAGAATACCCTGGTATACAGAAGAGTTCATAGTCGACTGGCTAAAAAAACAAGTCAAAATCATCACCATCATCTCCAATGTGGTGACAGTTATGTCACATTCCTGGGTCTGTTGACCCAGCATTTTAAGTTTTCATTTATTTTGATGTTGATGTTTATGTTTAAGTTGACTAGCTCAGCTAAGTTCATTTGTTTATTAGATTCCCCTTGTGTATGTGCCCTGTATTTAAGTTTCCCTCACCCTTTGTTTCATGTTTGCATGTTTTATGTTAGCAAGTTTGTGTTGTCATGTCTGCATTCCATGCTGTTTCCTGTTTTATTGTGAAAGTCCTTGTCCTATGTGCAGTGTGTCTAGTTTTTCTTCCCCTTGTCTTGTTAGGTCTGATTTGTCCCAGCTATGTTCCCACCTGTTCCCCATTCCTTCATTATCCTCCTGTGTGTATTTAGTTTGTGTTTTCTCATTCAGTCTTTGTCAGGTCTTCTGTTGTTCTCGACATGTTTCCATGCCTCCAGGGTTTTCCGCGTTCAGGTTTTGTTCTTTGTGTTTAGCATTTACTTTCTCCCAGTACAGTTCTAGTTAGTTTCTCCCCAGTGTGTATCTGCTTTTTGTTTTTGTACCTTTTTATCAGCCTAATTAAACGGCTCATTTTTTGTTCCTATTAAGTTGGTTTCCACACATTGGTTTGTCTGCACCTGGGTCCACTACTTGCACTCCACACAGTTTGACTTTGCACACTGTGAGAAGTTAATGTGAGGATTTAGAGTTGACATGCTGTATTTGGTTTTCTCCAAATGTGGCGCTATGCATTAAGTATCTAACATTGTTCCACAAGTCTTGTGGTTTGTTCAGATGCAGCTTTGCAAAGCTAAGCAATGTGGCTTCTGCATTGTTTTTATAAACAGGAAGCTTTTACCTGTAGAGTCTGACATGCAGTTTCTCTGAAGCTTGCACAGTCTGACCGCGATGTGAATTTGATGGTATGTCCACTCCTGGGAAGATTATGTTATCACAAACCTGAATGTTCCAGACCAGCACATTTTCATAGCATTTGTTTTTATAGAGGTAGCCCCACTAGCTGATGGTCAGTGAAAACACTACATTTGATGAGCAGCACCTACTTAAAATAAATGGAAGCCGTGAGGCTCACTCTTATGGATGATAATTTTTCAACTGTACTGCAATTACCATTAGCTCTTAGAAACTTATCTTATCTCAAACATTGATTGTTCAAAGGGTAAATGCTACCACTGCCTTTAATAAGGCTCTCCGATAAATGCAAAGTACAGACCTAAGTGACCTTTAATCCAAGAAGCCTAATGTCGCAACCAGGAGTTTAAAGAAATTAAGTGATGGTAACTGATATTAATTCTTGGTTTACACAAAGTAAAATTTCTTTTGCATTTTATTTCTGTGTTGTTGTGTTTTTGTTTTTTTGTTTTTTTATATACTGCTTTAGGTCTTTTCAGTGACCCATTCATTTCACAGGGTTAAACATTGACACAGCAGAAGAAAGTTGTGTTAAAAGAATTCTTACCAAGTTAAAAGCAAAGAGAAGAAGAGGGATTTATTACACAATATTAAATGTGCTATCACTTGAAAAGCAAGTGTCAAAAAATGACTTACTTATTATAAGTGGAATATATTGTTAAGCATACAAAAGCTTGTCTGGAGCACTCTTAGATAATCATTTATTTTATTAGAGAAAATATTACAAAATTAATTACTGTCATTTTGTAAAAAAAAAACAAAAAATAGATATGTTGTACTTAATTAGCTTTCAAATGCACCATCAAAAAACAAGTTCACCAAAAAATGTCATTGAAATGTTACATAAAATACACATTTTATGTTAAAACTTTCACATTCAGGCAGAGCAGTAATTCTCAAACTGTCGGGGAGTTAAAAGAACATGAATTTTCTTTTCTTTTTAATTTAACAAATGCAAAAAGAGTTTGTGAATGCTATGACTCTGAGCTTTATTTAAGTAAAAATCCACTCAGATCCTGTTTATTATTAATAATTGTTTGAAATTGTGGGTCCCCTCCTCTTGATAGCTAGTTAACTAGTTTGAGAGCCAATGAATCAGAGAAGTGCAGCACTTCTCTACTTCACAACTGCACAGACGCGTTTCCATTTTTCATATAATAATAAACACTGACATCCTGTGGTGACAGATCAGGCCTGAAAAAAAACAACAGCGATTTGTGTCATCTCAGCATCAGCAGCTGTGTACGTCTCAGAGATGGTTGGCATAGCCTTCCTCATTGTCTGCAGAGTCAATGGTTTTTGTTCGCTGAGTTTGCACGGAAGCATACAGATCAGACACTGTGGAGAGGGCGTCCGTGTTACCGTCATCCTCCTTCTCTGACTCCGGTGGCTCCCCTAACTGCATTGCATCTGAGTACTGTATCTGTGGACAGCTGTGACCAGCCTGCAGCCTGGGGCCCTTTAAGGTCAGGTTGGCATAACAGTCGTGGTTTTTGGACTGGAAGAAGAAACAAAAAACAATGTAAACATGATCACACTTCAATGCAATGAACAAGTAAAATTCTCCTTTCTGTCTGTGAAAAGACTTTTAACTAACTAAATTTAACTAAAGTTAATGCTTGCGATATTGTAATATAAGAAAAAGAAGGGTAATTTCAACAGTACATCTCAATTTTCTTACGTGATAAAGAAACGCTGCTTTAGTAGATGAAAGAAATCTGTGAGTGCAACTCTATGCTTTTAAATTGTAAGAAATACATGTGTGCTTTTCCTCATTTTTTTTTTTAATTACTTTTTTGGTTTTGCTGTGGACGTGGACCCACTGTGTTTAAAAAAAAAAAAAAAAAACCCTGAAATTTCCTTAGTAGATTTTTTTTTTTTTTTTTAAATATTTTTTTCATCATTTAATCATTTAGCTATTATTTAATTACTTCGGTTTAATTGGTTTATTATCACTGGCACTGGAGAAGCCTTTATTGGCATGAAAAGCTATTAAACAGAGTTAAAAATTAAATAACAATTAAAAATAATAAAGCTATGCCCTTCTTCACGTTGGGCCAGGCGGCCAGTTTGGATTCTTTTCTGGGCCAATTCTGGGTCCCAGGCCTTATGTTTGACACCCATGTGTTAGTAGGTCTAGACTGACCTATCCGAGAGGACCACTTTTTATGTTCCTACTATTACCTGATCTAATATCATACAGCTGTATTTTACTTTTTATGGAGAGATATTGTCATGAAGGTTTAATAACCTGTATGAACAGATAGAGAGCCCAAAGTGAAGCCAGAATAAAAGATCTCAAACCTTCCAAAGAGTTTCAAAGAATCTACCTGTAAGTCTGATCTGACTCTCCGCTGATACTTCCCATTTGAAGAGCTGAGTGATGAGTGAGGGGGATTGTCTTCTGTTAAATAAGTTATGCCTGTGGAGAAATAACATCACGCTGTAATCTGATACAAGTGTACTAAAGCATGTGCACAGCCATACGCACGACCGTTTGCACCTACTTGTTTGCAGGTAGCTTAAGTTTCCATAAATAGGATTTTCTTCCATCTGTCTCAAGCTCTGACTAAAATACACAGAAAGGAAAACGGAGTTCTTCACATGCAGATCTGTTTTACTGTAATTTGTTAACAATAAAAACCACGCTACACACCTTTGTCGTCTTCTCAGTGGACATCTCCATTTTCCTAATACAAGATAAAGATGAATATATTCACAACTGGATCGTTTTCAGGGGGTTTTGTGTTAATTCCCATAAAATGCTGACTTTAACTAATTTAATTGCATTTGGATTTATGATGTTTTGTTTTGTTTTTTACAGGTAAAATGTAAAAATGTTAAATTTAATTAAATCTGGTCAAATCAAATGTATTTGATTGATATGCATTCAGTTTATACAAGCACATTTTTTTAAATAATTGAGTATTAGAATAAATAACTCTTTAATAATATATTTCAGTTGCATTTTACTCAAACTATTGTGTCATGTTTACAGTGGGTGAAGAATCTTTTTTTGTGAGTGAGGGTAGAGTAAATAATGTAATTACCTGAGCCAAATTTTGATACACAACAAAAAATATTCCATGCCAGTGAGATGATCAGCGCTGCACTGAGAACCCCTAAGGTCACTTGTAATTCCATAGATAAATAACCAAACTGTGAAGCTAGAAAAAAGAAAAACAAATATGAGTCGCTTTAAATGAATAAACTATGTTTGAGCAACACTCACTGACGTCATAGTTAATCTCATACATGAAGACAGAAAACTGCTATGTGTGTTTTTAAAAAAAATCAAAAGGCAATTTTTTTTACATAGCTGTGTCTTTAATTTTCTGTCCATCCATCCACTGCCTACCATTTACACATGTGCTCATTGTAGAGCTCACAACCAATTTAATGCAATGTGTATGAATTGTGGGAAGAAATGGAAGCACTGTGAGAAAATTACTTAGCTTCACACAGAAATACCCTACTCACAAAGTGAGTGCTGTGCTTCATCACTGCACCACGCAACACAGAAAGCTAATTTTAGCAATTTGGGACGCCTTTTTTTCCTCTTTAGTTCACATTTTAAACAGATATTAAATAAGTGACTACTACTGATAATAACAATATTAATGAAGAATATCCATCCATGCATCATGTAAAGCTTTTAAAATATGAATAAACAAAATAAAAAAGGATTTTTTTCATATATCTCTTTTAAAAATGTAGAACTAGAGGTACACGCTTGAAAATGGATTGTTCAAACAATGCTGAAGGAAATTGGGCAATAAACCAAAGTGTGAAAACATGCACGGCATCAGAGTCCTTGAGCAATACATCTACACCAGCACTGAGCAGCAGAAAATGTGGTTTTGCTGAGAAACCTGCATGCATGGATGTGTGATGTGTGCAATGTTTGCTGCAGGAATACACACTGAGCAAAAGCACCTTGGGCGCATTTCCTACCCCAGAAACCATTTGCAGTGCTTGTTGATATACTATGTTTAACATGTTCCTGAAGCCTCATCGATCTCTAGTGAGTTAAAACATTCAGTCGACACACTGTTGGTTTTTGGTTTGCCACTGAATCACATAAAAAGCCTGACTGTAACTGTAACTCTTAACTGTGTAGCTGTGGTGTGCAATATCTCGTATAACTTTCAGCTGAATTTTCACCGTAAACGAAGGAGCACTTTAATGTGTTTGGACTCTGCAGTGGTGGAAATGGGTCCACATTCTGCCCGAGTAATATCTGGTGCATAGGATCTCTGTTACAAATCTAAATAAATAATTTAGCTTTGGTAATGCATCGCCTCATTAAAATGAGACACATTCTACGATCTTACACAGTATTGCTTTTTGCCTTTGGGCAAACTGCACCGTCCTAATTAAACTGCTGATGCCTCTGAGCGTTTATCACTGTCTGTTTAATCAGAATGCTGTGAGTCTGTACACAACAGACACTTCACATGTCAGCTGTGAAGGCGTGGGAGAAGCTGTGTATAAAAGAAACTTACCTTTTAGTAAGCTCAGTTTTGGGGGATTTTCTTTGTTTGTTTTTGGTTGCTGTGATCATTTATTTAAAGCACTATTCACTGATTTAAAAACAAAGTTGGAAACATTTTTATCATCCAGCTCCTGGCTGAAGTCCTACTGACTCTAATTTTGGATATGTTTCTCTCTCCGGCAGCATCTCAGGCAGGGGTGGGCGGTTAGTTTTCCCAAGGTGCCACATGAAAAACTGCAACTGCTGGGGAACCAACAAGCTGAACAGTTCTGCACTATATTAATTACATCTCTTTATAAGCTTATTAATGTGCCCAGTGTAGTTTAATTCCTGGAATGATCTTTGTCACATTGTGCCAGACAGCATACAGTTTATTTTTCAGCACTTTCTTTTTTCAAAACTTCCAACTAGAAAGTACTGAGATTCTGTTAAACTTCTATTAGAGCAATAACAGGAAAGATGGGGAAGTCCCACAAAAGCTTCTAAATAATCAAAGTGCAATCTGATATGAAAATCAGCCTTTAACCTTTTTCACTCCCTCTAAAGTCAAACCAGTAAAGCTTAATTCAATATAAAAGCAACACTAACCATCTTTATTTATAAATAATGTAAAGACCTGATCGAACTCTAAGGAAAACTCTTGGCTTACATTACTGTGAAATCTAACAGTTTCTCTATCTTCATTCAAGACTTACCTTGCTGAGTGGAGCTGCAATTTCCTGCCATGGCAGTGAAGTTTAACCAAGGACAATCCAAACTATACTCTGATAACAAACGTCTACTAAATCTTTTACACCTGTACTCTGTCTTTGACAAGCAGTTCTACAGAACTCGCTGCATGTTTGTGCTCACGCAGTATGATGCGACACCAGCGTGTTTGCTTTTTTTTCTTAAAGGACTGTTACAGGATGTGTGCTTTTGCAGAAAACCACAAACTTTTTTTAGACTACAAGACAGATCAGGTACCAAGGCTGCGAACCTGCCCTTTCAGTGTTAAGGAATATGACATGAACAGTTTTGATTTAAGGGGATATATCCTTTTTACTTTAAATATCCTGGAAAAGACATTTAATTATCTTTGAGGCACTAAATATAATCCTTTAATTATTTCACACAACATCTGGATACTATGTGACAACATATTAAGAATGAGAGCAAATTCTCTCCGTGGAGATAAAAACATTTCTAGTGGGGACAAATATTTGTAACTACTACAGCACAAACTCTAGTGGTTATGATTTTTACACATGCATGCATACAGATAAAAGAATCCATGAAAAGCAGTGATTTGTTTCTAAAAAAAAATAATAATAATAAAATGAGATTATAAAAATAAAAATGCTAACTACGACCTTTAAGTTAAAAAGGTCAACAAAAGTGTTTAATAAGTGCAAACGACTAGGAAATTTAGACATATGAGGTAACAGATGTCAGTGATGGAACTTCCTGTCAAAGTAATGGATCAAGTCATAAACCAAAATAAATGGTATCTTTGTTGTAATCCTGCAGATGTCTTTATATATCTTTAAAGTCAGTCGTGAGCTGCTGGGTCAAAAATATGCCAGTGGCCATGACAGAAAGTGAGGTTAACCAATTATTCTGGTAACAGTCTGACACATTCAGCACATGGTGGTGTTCACTGATTTAACTTTTTCATGCTGAGCTCTTTACTTGGCAACACACATCTTAAATTAGTGGTTCATATTTCATAGCTGCAACATCAGACAACAGGAATTAGAGCAGCAAGGAGGTGTTAATGGGTGTGTTTACACACTAGAGGCCCAGTTTTTTAAGTCACATCCTAGTTTTGGTCACTTTGGGGGTAAAATATGAGTTTTTAGCTCTCTTAGTATCTTATTCTCATATCATCCAGATAAATCTGTTGGTATTTGGCTTCTGTAAGCCTTTAAATCTCCTGGATTTATCTTCATCTGATGACCGCAACAAAGATTCATATTTGGCAGAGAATGATCGCCGTTTAGAAACGCAACCAAATATTCATAACCTGTATGTGAGCATCTCAAACAGTTTGCTCAAATCAATAAAGACGAAGAGCAAATCACTGTCAGACGTAAGACGAATATTTGCATACATTCTGGGAATTAATTTCACCCGGTTCAGCAATCATTCTTCAGGATTCATTTATAGTGCTGAACTGCAGCTCCTAAATCTTCTGTATACAAACTTGCACGAGCTGGCAGCCTGCTGATCAGCCCCATCTGTGTCAGCAGGCTGAACACTAGTTCAGGATGAGAGGAGCAAATGATAAGACTCTCACGGTCCATTTAGTGAAGAAAGCGTGGGTTGAACACGCAGACAGCAATGCAGTCATTTGTTTGCCTTCTTCTGTGTATAAAGTGTCACATTTTGAATATTAAATTAAACCAGATGTGGGAAGGATTGTTCCAATCATCTTTTTGGGCATCTGAGTTGTTTTTGGTTTAAACATTGATTCAAAAGTTACTGGTGCTGACATCTGACATGGATGAAAATTCAGTAAAGAGTGGCTCAAGACATTTAGGCTGTCTTAGCTATCCCGCACAACACTGGGTGAGTTATTCTTCTGCAAGGAGTGTGGGCTATAGGTTAAAGCATGTCCACCTTTATACCACTGCACTCAAGCAGATATTTAAAGTCATGGATCTGCTCAACCAGGCAAATTCAAAATGTGAGATCTTTTCATAATTTGTTAAAAGGAATGGCGCAGAAAGAGCTGTTACACTGTTAATTAAATGGACTAACTGAAGCGCTGCTCATCACACTGCATGTCTAATATCCTAGCTGTGTTACTCCATCCCGCTGTTTAGTATTCTCCACCTATAGGATCATTCTAATGCTACAGTGTATTTATTAATAGGAACAAATAAGACGAAGGAAACTAAAACTGACAGTTGTGGGAACGCTTGTGTTATAGTTAGGTACACTGGTCAAAAACACATAAAACCACATTAACCACAATGCGTCAGAAACTTTCCATTGTAAACAACTGCAGAGGTTTTCACTTGTATTAAGAGAATTTTTGAAATACCACCATGCTATCTGCTATGCAGACATAAATTAATTAATTTTTTTTTATCTTCTGGTTTTTCTACCTTTGGCTACCCTCTTGTCACTCGGTGTGGTTTATCAAAGCCAGTCCCAGTGTTAAAAATTGATGTAGAAATCTATGTACATGTCTTGTGCAACACCGCTTCCAAAAAAGTTAGGACCCTGTGAAAAATGTAAGTAACAACAGAATGCCAACATCTGCAGGTCTCAGGAACCTATATTACGACAAAACAGAAAACATCAAATGTTTAAACTGAGATGATTTCATGAAAAATATTTTCATTTTGAATTTGATGGCAGCAACACATCCCACAAAAGTTAGGACAGGAGCAAGAAAAGGGCGGAAACGTAAATGTTGGGACTAAAGATGGGCAGAGGTTCAACAGTTTGCAGAGAACTGTGTCTACAAAATGTGGAACAGTTTCAGAATAATGTTCATAAAATGTT